CATTACCTGAATGTTTATATCAGCTTTATTCCTAGTAGCTAAAAATAGGAAAATGTAGATACCTTTCAATGAATGAGTTATTAAATGAATGTATATCCATCCGTGAAATACCCATCAGGAATAAAATAGAATTACCTATTAATCCACACAACATTGTATGAATCTCCAGAAAATTATGCTGAGTGAAAAAAATATTCCAAAAGTCTATATATTCTATAATTGATTTACATAAAATTATTGAAATGACGAATTATAGAAATGAATACAAATTAATGGTTGCCAGAGGTTAGGGAGGGTGAAGCAGTGGATGGGAATTGAATGTGGCTATAAAATGGCACTAGGAGGGATCCTTATGGTGATGGAAACAGTGTGTATCTTGACTCTGTCAACGTCAATACCATGGTTGTGATATTGTGCTACAGTTTTGTAAGATTTATCATTGTGGGGCAATGGGATCTCTCTGTATTATTTCTCATAATTCCATGCGAAACTGCTGTTATCTCAAAAAAGATTAATTTAAAAACACATTTACTCAATTGAGTTAACACCAGTTTGATCCACTAGGTCAAGGCAATTCCAATTAAAATCTCACAAATTTTATAGAAATTGACAGATTGACTCCAAAATGATATGAAAATGTAAAGATCCTAGAAGAGCTGAAACGAACTTATAAAAGAAGAAAATTAGTGTACTCACAATACTAGATTTCAAGTTTCGTTTTGTTTGGTTTTGTTGGTTTTAATTTTTATTCATTTTAGATAAAACTACAGTTATCATGATGGTAGTGAAATATTGGTGAAGAAACAGGCAAATAGAATTACACTTAGAAGGTCAATTGATTGCTAACAAAGTCACCAAGATAAATAAATGTTTAATTATAGTCTTTATAAAATATGTTGCTGAGACAACTGCATAAATACATGAAAAATAAAGCAAGAAATATCAGGAAAAGTAACTAAGGTAAATAAAATAGGATAGTTTTACAACAGTGCCAAGCAAGTAGGAATAAATCTGAAAGATGTTAAAAATTCTACAAAGAAAATTATAAATTTTGCAGATATAATAAAATAATTAATGAACAAATGGAGCGATATATCATGACCTTACATAGGAAAACTTAATGTTTAAATGTATCGATTATCCAAAACTTGATCTATAGCTTCAACAAAATATTAATAAAATTTCCAAAATTTGGTTTGAATTTCAAAATTGTTCTAAAATGTATATGAAAGGGTGAAGCAGAGTAAGAGTGATACAAAAGTTTTACATTTTTTCTGATCAAGAGGCGGGCCCGTCCCTTTTTTTTT